GTCTCACCGTCTGCGTCGCTACCATTGTGACTGCAGGGGGTGTTGAGTATCGTGATTAGATTGCAAACATAGGATAGACTAGGAATTATTCTGACTTGTTTTTTACTTCAAAAAGATCATGTATTTCTATATATATGACCACAAGGCTCAAGCAATAAACATCGATTCCATCAATCCCTCTCTATTCTTCTAACAGTCCGGCCATATGTACTCTGTGCAGCGTGGCGGCGACCGGTGAGCTACCATGGACTGGAGCGCCTGAGTTCAAGATTATTCTGCAAAGGCGGCCTTGAAATTGTGTAGTCGAATATATGAATTTATACAAATTTGTTTCAATATTTATACACCTATAGGCTAGTTTCACCAAAAAACTGTGTAGTCAATTGACTACCAAGCTTGTACTACATGGCTTCGCCAACCGCGCCAGCCACTCAGGCTGAGACCTTTGGCATGTATCTTTCGGCTCTGAAATAGTCGACATGTTTACTCACACGATGCAGCAATCTGTATGTACATGCAACGCATTCCGCACAGCTTGCGGCACTGGTCCTCCTGAGATGGATATATGTATACATGGATGTATATTACGTATCATCAGTGAACGAATTGTGGAAAGAAGCAGAAGCCTTGGCTGCTCACGAGTGAAGCTGTTCAAGGCCTCCACGCTATATTACACTGAATGACACAGACGTATATATAGAAAAGAAATGCCTGACATTCGAATCACATTGTCAGCAAGGCCCACGAGTCGTCATCGATTCACACGCCTTGCGCGCGACGACCGGTCGACCATCATGCAGATCCTTCCTTCTTGGCTTCCTCCGCGTACAGCGCCTTGATCTCCTCCACGTCGTCGCTGCTGCCCAGGAATATCGGGGATCTCTCGTGGATGTCGGTGGGGATCAGGTCAAGCGACTGCATTGCATTGCCAACAAACAGAGTGTCAACATACTGTCTGTTGCTGGACATGAAATTCTGGCCAAGGGAAGAAAAACAGAGATGCTTGCATGTCACAACAACACATACCCGTCCTTTGCCTGTGAAAGACTGGCCTCCAGCCTCCTCCATCAGGAATGACATGGGGAACACCTCATACATCACACTGCAAACACAGCAAATTCAGGCAACTTCAGAACAGCTGCGTGCAATGGTGGAGGTGCTGTTTGAGTTGTGCGCACAGGCAGTGGCGTACCGGAGCTTTCCGCTCGGGCTCTTCTTGTCCGCGGGGTACAGGAATATGCCGCCGTATAGCAAGGTGCGGTGGACATCGGCAACCATGCTGTGAACCATCAGGAATGGAGTGTTATATGTTGTGACAAGCATTTTACAAGTTTGTTAACATTCATTGATCGTGTAAATTTTGCATTGTCGGGGGGAAGCTTCTGAAGTATGAGAGGTAAATTGTTCAATTCGTCAGGTAAGCAGGTTGAAGATTCACAAACCTGCCAATGTATCTCAAGGATTTGGGTGATGAACCATCCGTGGGATACTTGCACTTCTCCACGTACCTGTTGTATATATGTGGTAAATTTTTAGCAGGAACACTCAAGGAAGTAACACTACTCTGAAAACAACAAGATCTCATACTTTGCAGTAGGGGTGTCCCAGTTCTTGGCATTCCCTTCGTTAACCGAATAGATCTTTCCTTTCGGCGGTATCTGAAGCATAAAGCATGCAGATTTTAGTAGTACGCCTCTTGGTGAATTTTCAGAAAATAAATACTACAGTAAATCTCAGTAATTCTGCCAGCACACCTTGATGTCTGGATGAGTCATTATGAACTCCCCAAGAGAAGGGTCAAGCGTGAAGCCGTTGACACCATTTCCAGTGCTCAGGACAAGCTGCAGACAATTAGCATACACAGGCCAATTCAGACAGTGCGCTTACAGTCACGCAAAGATTTATCTTGCTTGTGCAACACGAGGTCAGGGAACTTGATTAATTACCGTGCAGGAACTCCCATACATGCAGTATCCAGCAGCAATCATGTCCTTCCCAGGCTGCAGTACTTCCTCCAGAGTCACGGTGTCTTGGTTCTTGATCATGTAGATCCCAAAGATCTGTAGAAAAACATGTAAGAATAAGGAATAAACTGTCCATGCAGCATATTTCTACTTTTTTATGAGCATATCCCCTGGGACTTTGAAATGGCAAAAAGGAAAGCAGACTCCCCGTAATTGTGCGTGTTCCGAACAACTTTTTTAGCTTTGAAATTACTTGTGCGCTTCCCCTACCGTTCCGATGGAGACGCCGCAGTCGATGTTGGAGGAGCCATCCAGGGGGTCAAAGCAGACACAGTACCTGATGGAAAATGAAGATCCGCACATTTCATCAGAAACAACAGAGGAAAATTCGCTCCTTGACCACATCAAGGTATTTGAGCAGAGCAATCAAGGAGCCGAAGGCTTTTACGCACTTCCCACGGAGCTTAGGGTCCACGAACGTCGCCTTCTCGTCCTCCTCGGACACAAGAACACACTGCACGTATCGGTTCGCAGCGCAAAGCAGTGTCACAAAACAGAATGAAATCAACAATCTTGTATGTACAAAAAGAAAAGAAATGGCAGGGAAAAAAAAGAAATGGGATGAGACAAAGTTCATACGGTGCGGCCGCTGCTGACGAGGGCATTGACGAACACCTCGTTGGAGAGCACGTCCAGCTTCTTCTGCTCCTCCCCCTGAAGAGCCCGCGCCACCAATTGACAAACAGGCAACCATCATCATCATCATCATCATCATCATGCTTCCATTCCCACGGATCGGAAGCAAAACTGAACTGGAGAGAAGAGAAAAGAAAGAGGAAGAGCACAGCAGCTTGCCTGGACGTTGGTCTCGCCGGCGAGACCGGTGAGCTTGGCGAGGCCGGCCTTGTTGACGGCGGAGGCGACGAACTTGCAGCCGAGGACGATGTGGGAGAGGAGGATGGTGAGGTCGCCGCGCGACTCTGGGTGCCTGCTCTGCTCGTTCAGCACGTGCCGCGTGATGGTCATCAGGTCCGTCCGGAACGTGTCCGCCGCGTGATCCATCTTCTCCGATCGGCCGGGGACGACCCTACCCTCCCTCTCGTTCGCTTAGCTCGGACGGAGAGCTCGTTTTGCTTGCAGCGCGGACCCCGGAAGTGAGCGATCTATCTATGCCCAAGTAGTACGGCGCGGGAAGTGGCCGGCTGCGAACCGTGACGTGACGCGCGGCGTGCCGTTTTGGTAGGTAGCGCGGGGAGAAAGTGAGGCTGGGAGCGGAGGGGCTTGGGGCTCCAACGGAATGAGCGCCGAGGCCTATCCCCTCTATCCGCGATGGCTGGTAGCACGGTGGCCGGGCGCGTCTGTGGCCGTCGCGTGGTGACTGGTGAGGTGATGGGAGTGAGTGAGAGGAGCGCAGGGCTTTGTCCCGCGCCCGCACGTAACCTTCCCGCCGGAGCAAGGCGCCAACGCGGGCGCTTAGCCATCACGCCGACAGCGGCTCTGTTTAGCTATAACCTGAAGCCCGACGTGACGGCGAGGCGGTTTTGCGACGGTCGTCAGGGGCGAAACGGCGGTTCGTATCAAGCAAAGCTTGGGCTGTTGGCATCTGTTATTGAATTCAATAATCAAGACGAACTTTGCTTGATGGCCTGCCCTTCGCGCGTACGTGGAATATCCTACCTTTTTTTTTATGAACAGTGAATATCCTACCCCTTTTCAACCATACGTGGTATATACCAGGCTCAGCCTCAAGTGTGGCTTCAGATCCTGGATTCGAATGCACTTTCGTGGTCCAGTCAAGCCACTGGCGCAAACTTGACACTGTCTATAACTTCGCCGACTAAGGTCAACAGAGAAAACGTGCCCATTTATACCGTTGCTTGTATAATAATAAAAGTTGCATCCAGGAAATCAGCAAAGGCATTTGCATTTGACACGGTATGCATGTTGACCATTTAACACAGTATGCATATCGCAAGCAGAACACTCAAACATAAATAAACTTGTAATAAAATCACAGAAGCATAATCTTCAACAATATCACAACATAAATTATGAGCAACCAGTGTTCCAACATACAGTACATAATGTAAGGGCAGCAACTGTGCTCCAACATACTTGAGAAATGAGATAGCGACAATCTAAGCAGGGAAGACAATGATGTTGGCCATTGCTAAGTGATGTTAGTTGCTATTCGAAGGCGTCACCAAAGAATAACAGATTTACAGTATTGATCCCGTGCCTCACAGACACTTTCATGGGCAACCAGACTTAGTACAGCACAACAATATCCGGTTGATTTTCTTTCTGAGAAACGGGAGCAGAGGCGTAACTGAAGGTACAAGGAGCAAGTATAACAGTATCAGGATCTTTGTCGGAAAACAGCATTAACCTGGAGCCTTCCAAGATAATTGCAGGATCACACTTCAAACTTCAAAGTATAGTACAACAACTGTTTGTTTTCTTCGCCTGCTTATAGAACATCTGAAAAGGCAGAATAACATCTCTCAGGAAAATATATGATAACAGAAATAAGCGAAGCATTGAAATGACCCATAACACTAACATCATGATTTTCATCAGCAAGTTAAAAAGAAGTGTCGTAAGAGCCCTTTTGCCATATGTACATTATACGCTGTATCTAACAACAAGCATTCTGGAAACTGGACAGAGTTCAAGAAATTATAATTATACTAGAAGATAACCAGCACGTTGCAACAGGAACACATGCTAACATTGGTAATAGTGATGACATGGATGAAGTGTGAGGATTAACTATGATGAGATGGCATGCTGATGATGTGGCAAACATGCATGACTTGTTGATGTGGATGAGTTGCATGGATAGAATAAAATAGGTAGATAGTGGGGTGAGCGTGCAACTAAAAAATACTCCCTCCGTTCACTATTATAAGGCGTTTTGGATATTTCAGTGTGGACTACATACGGATCAAAATGAGTGAACAAACACACTAAAACACGCCTATATACATCTGATTCAGAAAAAAGTTAGAACATCTTATAATAGTGAACTGTGGGGGTAGAAAAGAAGGAAACAATTAATAGGTGATATGTGTTCTGATGTGGTATGTGTGCATGTTCCAAGGAATAGTAGTGGGGATCAACTATTTAGGAATATAGGATTACAGGCCAGATGTTGTAAGCGCAGCATTAGAGCAGCTTTGGTCAATGTTGTAAAGAAATAGGAGTGAAGGACATTACAACTAGATTTATATTATTATACAAACCAACAAAATTATATTAGCATCACATATAGTACATGAATAGAAATAAGTATCACTTTACAGTCATCCCATGAGCAGTGATCCTTTCACACTAGACAAGTAAACTTTACAATTTAATGGAGTATATGCACAAGTGCTGGTAGGAACCGGATCCCTACCAGGGTGTGGTCTCAGGTTGTAGGGGTGGAAGGAGGGATGGCGTGGAGGAAGGCGTGGTCTCCCGGCTAGAGAGAGAGAGCGCAGCGGTGGCTAGGGTTAGGTCTCCCGGCTCCCTAAGGAAGCCGGGCAAATATGATTGCTTCTTGCTTAATCCCAAAACGGGTCCTTGCACGAGTTTATATAATCCTCCTAATAAGATAATTGGGCTAAGCCCCTAATAACGATAAGATAAATTGGGCCACAACTAACTAGGCTAAGCCCCTAATATGCCAGTCATAACATCTCTCCCCGCCTGCACAAACAGCTCGTCCTCGAGCTGGAAGGCGGGGCAGATCAACGGTCGCCAAACACCTCCGCGTCAACTGGGGCGGGCTGGTCGCCGAGCCCGGCGGCGGCGGGGTCCTCCTCAATGTAGTCTGCAGCCTCCAGGTAGAAGAGTTGTGGGCAGACGTTGCCCGGTACGTAGGGCTCGTCACAGTTGAAGCACAACCCTTGGCCGCGACGCTCGAGTTGCTCGGCCGGGGTAAGCCGGGGGAACGGGCATGCCGCAGCCGCGGCGAGGGGCGTCGCGGAAGCCTGGGCAAGCCGACCCTGCGCGGGAACTTCTGGCCAAGGTGGCGGCCCAGCGGCCCGGGGTGGTGGCGCCTGCTGGATGGCCACCGCGCGACACTCGAACGTGCGGGCGTAGTACATGGCCGTCTGGAGGTTCTATGGCCCGCGCATCTCCACGTCCACGCGAATGTGGTCCGGTAGGCCGCCGACGAAGAGCTCAGCCCGCTGACGAGCCGAAACACCGGGGGCGTGGCACGCCAGTGCCTGGAAGCGGTCGGCGAAGTCTTGCACCGAGGTGAGGAACGGAAGACGCCCAAGCTCCGCCAGACGGCTCCCGTGTATAGGTAGACCGAAGCGCAAGAGGCACAATTCGCGGAAGCGTTCCCATGGTGGCATGTCGCCCTCGTCTTGTTCGAGGGCGTAGTACCACGTCTGTGCGGCTCCTCGGAGATGATACGAGGCGATCCAGGTGCGGTCGGACGCGAGCGTGCGCTGTCCCCTGAAAAATTGGTCGCATTTGTTGAGCCAATTCAGGGGGTCGACGGTGCCGTCGTAGGTCGCGAACTCCAGCTTGGAGAATCTCGGCAGCGTCTGGACATGGACGACGGGCGGGTGCGCCTCGTCAGCACGGCGCAGCGAGGATGACGGGGCCGAGTATGCGGGCATCAGGGTGCCGCCCTGGAACAGGGGCCCGTCGACGCTGGCGAAGGGCTCGGCGTAGCCGAGGACCCGCCAAACTGCATGGCCGGGTGCGTCACCGGCGGAGGCAGCACGTGCGGCCCGACCGAGGCCGTCGTGTAGACCGGCGGAAGGGACCCAGCGAGCCAGGCCGGTAACGAAGACGGCGACATGGGAAACCAGACCTGGTGGATGGGCACCCCCGGGCCCGTCGTCGGGATGCCCAGGGCCGCGGTCGCCGGTGGTGACGGCTGCAGCTGTTGCCCCTGCTGCATGGTGGAGGCGCCGGGGTTCGTAGCTGGTGGCGGCTGCCATGGCAGCTGCTGCATGGCGGCGGCGACGGGGTCGCCAAGGACGGCGGCTGCGGCGGCGGCGGGGCGGTGGCGAAGGGCACAGGCAGCTGCGGCCCATAGGATCTCGCGAGGAACGTGTAGATGCCCATGACCGCCTGGGTGAGATCCCGAATGGCAGCCGTCATCTCCTCCGGGGTGAAGACGACGGGGACGGGCGCGACGGAGGTGACCGGCACCGGCAAGAGTGGGGCACTGGCCGTGGTGGCCATCAGGGCGGTTGTCGCGGTCGGCAGCGGAAGGGTCGGGGTGGGCGGCAGTGAGGACATGATCGCACCAGAGCTATCTGATACCAAATTGGTAGGAACCGGATCCCTACCAGGGCATGGTCTCAGGTTGTAGCGGTGGAAGGAGGGATGGCGTGGAGGAAGGCGTGGTCGCCGTCGTTGCGTGCGCGCGAGAGAGAGAGAGAGAGCGCAGCGGCGGCTAGGGTTAGGTCTCCCGGCTCCCTAAGGAAGCCGAGCAAATATGATTGCTTCTTGCTTAATCCCAATACGGGTCCTTACACAAGTTTATATAATCCTCCTAATAAGATAATTGGGCCAAGCCCCTAATAACGATAAGATAAACTGGGCCACAACTAACTGGGTTAAGCCCCTAATATGCCGGTCATAACAAGTGCGCCTGCAGCAAAATAATGTGCAGGCTGAGGCTCAAAGATGTTGAATGCTCGTTGTAGCTCGGAGATAACTAACAGTAACTAGCAATTTTTCACCATGTCATTAAACACAAAAGCACTCATGAGGTAAATAGAAAACAGATAGATATATGCTTACCTGTGAAGCAGCACTCAGGTCTGAGCTTTTTTCAACCAAGCTATCCAACCTCTCTCCTCTTTGAAGGACATTCTCTATAGTTTTATGCTGTTAAATTATTCAAACACAAATAAAGCATATCAGCAATAGGTTGCTCCCACACACACAAAAACAGCATGACATCTTCGGTACAAGATGGGGTTGACTGGCCTTGCACCCATTGTGTGTGATGCAAGTAGTGGGTAAATCTGTAGATATCCAAGCAGGCAGAAAAAAATCAAATAAGAAAACACTTACTAGGATAATTTTTGTTTCATCCAAGTCCCTCTGGATTTTTGTTAACTTGTCAGCCTCTGCAGGATCCTACAAAATGGCAGATGCTTCATCATTAAAAAAAACAAGTTTACTCATCGGTTCCGGCAAGTTGGACAAAGCAATGAAAATGACCAGAGAATAAAGCATACTGCAAAAATACACTGACATGTCCAAACATAGAACCTATTCATGAATATGTGCAAAATATAGAACCAATCCCTGAGAAGCCAACACAGAATACCATGGGTCTGGAATACATAGCAACTTTTTCTTTCAAAAACAGGCATACAACTACAAGATACAACACATTCCTAAGAAAATAGAATCCCCCAGCACACCAAACTTTTATCTGGCCATCTTCTTCATCATAAAAGATAAAACAAGAAATAGAGAACAACTGTGGTTATACGATGGATATCGCAGAATTGTGAAAGAGACAACTTATTACAAGTGTGGTTGCTCCCTCCCTCCCTCTCAATTCTTCTTACCGTGGAGTATATAGGAAAAATAGACCAGTGTACCGATTACTATGCCCGGAAAAAAACATATAGCATTATGCTACCTCCTAGCAATGAACACATGAGCATACAGAACCTTCCATAGATGGTTATACCTGAAATTTTGTCAAAGCTTCCATCAGGAAAGGCCACTCTTGAGTGGAATCTGCTGTGGCAGCTTTCCAAGCATCCCCAAAAGCCTTCTGGTATTCGTCAAGTACCTTCATAAAACACATCACAGCTAAGTATCACCAGAAAACACTACTATGGAAGAACTGCTCTATGGAACTTATTCAGTTATAACAGTACAACAAATTTTCACATGACCTCGATAAAATCATGATTATTATCTATACACATTTGAATATATGTCAGGAGAAAAATATATTTGTTTAGCAAAGACTGTACATGGTTTATCAGTCTCTGCTCTCTGGCTAATTACAAAAAAAAGGGACCCTAGACAACATCGCACTCCATTGTTTTCTCAGACAACATGGTATACATTTCATTGAACACCGAAGCAAGACTCCGAACATTGGTTATAGGTTGTAGCTAGTCTGTATCTAGAAGCAAAACAACTTTATGGTTGTTTAGGCCATTCGGAATAAGAACACATAACAGGAAGATCGATCCCGGCCTGTTGGTAAAAAATGATCATAGACCAATCATGAAATACATAATACATGAGTTTCAACAACAACGATCTATTACCTTATTCAGAAGAGAAAATGCACTTCGTACAGGATAGTGATCATCCATGAATGCCACCACGCAGAGGCCATTTCTGTTGTGTGAGTGAACCTTGTATTCTGCAAAGAAACAACAAAGTGTCTGAATGATTATATCTTCACAATTACATATGCGAAAATGAATTTGCTCAAAGTCACTGAAACAAGAAGGAACACCGGCAATCAACTGAACATACAATGAATAAGAGCAACTGGGATTTAAATTACGCCGTGAGCATCAAAATTAGGTCAAATCCACCAAATTGTCAATATTGTCACATAATCATGAATCATTATGGAGAGACAATTACAAACCTACAGCGCTACTTTCAGCAACAATATCTCTTCCAACAGCGCATCCGATGAACTGGATAGGGCTACAGGCTACTTTGCAGAGATCGCCGGAATCACCCATGTTGGCCTTGCTCTAGGAATCAAACTACTGCGAGGCCTGTAGTTCCAAACCCAGACCCCGGATCTGAGCATCGGATCACAAAGTAAGCTAGACCTAGAGGGCAGCGGCAAGCAGATCTGAGGAGGGGTGGTTACCTTCGTGCTGGACGGACTGGCGCTGGCCGGGCTGGGTGCGCTGGGCGACGGTGCGGGCGACGAAGACGATGAACTCGCGGGCGGCGCCGCGCTGGAAGAAGCCGAAGTGGCTGACGTCCGTGGCGTTGGCCAGCACGAGCGCCTCCGAGCCCTGCCCGCCGCTGGAGGAGGAGCCCCCGGCGCCTCCCGCCGACGGCTTCAGCACGACGAGCGCCGTGATCTTCATCTCCGCTCCGACGAGGCTACTGGATCCGCGGCGACCTTGGGCGGTGAGTTGGATGGGTTTGGACGGGAGTGGAGATCGCCGCGCGGAAGTAAAAGAAGTTTCTCCCCTCCCTTTTCCTACTTTGCTGGATTCGGTCTCACCCCCACGACGTCGACAAGTCAATGACAGCGGGCCAGCCTTGGGAGGACAGCGTTGGTTTTCAGCTACTATTGGATTCCTTCCGCCAACCACCAACGGAAGGGCCAAAGAGGCAAACGGGGAGCACCTGGAAACTTCCAGAACAAAATCTGGGGAACAAATATGGAGCAACACAACGGCGGTGGGCTTATCCATGGACGGTAATCATTAAGCGGCGATACTGTTCTTCATCTCCATCACAGCAGCGCCATCAGAAAACATGAGTAAAAAATCCAAAAATAAAGTAGTGGAAGAAAACGAACACTGAAAAATCCAATGAGGAAAGGGATGAAAATTATTATGCGGCAACCGCGTTCTTCCTCTGCATCACATCACAACCATCATACAGCTAGACAACATAAATGAAGAACAAGAAAGCAGTACGCATCACAGAGAAAAACACTGAAATGAGATTCATATGATGATAACTGCACTCTTCATTGATAATTCATCGCAGCGAGGAGCTACATATGGCAAGACAACGATGAGAGCGGACAGGAACATGTTAAGCTACACCACCAAGCTCTGAAACCGGAACATCACAGTAGGACTCTCTGATAACGCACGCACGCGGCTACCGCTACCTAGGCCCTCTCCCCGCGGATGCGGCGGGCGAGCTGGATGTCCTTGGGCATGATGGTGACGCGCTTGGCGTGGATGGCGCAGAGGTTGGTGTCCTCGAAGAGCCCGACGAGGTACGACTCGGCGGCCTCCTGCAGCGCGGAAACGGCGGAGCTCTGGAAGCGGAGGTCGGTCTTGAAGTCCTGCGCGATCTCCCGCACCAGGCGCTGGAACGGCAGCTTGCGGATCAGCAGCTCCGTGCTCTTCTGGTACTTGCGGATCTCACGGAGCGCGACGGTGCCGGGGCGGAAGCGGTGGGGCTTCTTCACCCCGCCAGTGGCCGGGGCCGACTTGCGCGCCGCCTTGGTCGCCAGCTGCTTCCTCGGCGCCTTCCCGCCGGTCGACTTCCTCGCCGTCTGCTTCGTGCGAGCCATTGCTGCGGGGTGGGGGTGGGGAGGGGAGGCTGCTTCGGTGGTTGTTGATTGCTTGGGGGATTTGGGAGCTGGATGAGATGGGATGGAGAGGATGGGGGCGGTTAAGTAGGGAGGAGCCGGCGGGATACTAGAAAAATTTCGGCGCTGCGGCGAGGTCGAGTGGATGGAAGATGGATTTGGGGCGTTGGATTGGTGGCGGGTGGGCGGCTGAGATTGGTTTTTGGGTTAGAGCACGCGGATCGTGGGGTGCGATCCGTGGGAAGGCGATTACAGGTTTCTCATTGGTTGGGGTGTGACTGTGTCTGTGTAGAGTCACGCGGATCGTTGGCCAGGATTCCTCGATTCTGATTGGCTGATCTGACAGTGGGCCTTGCACGGTGTAGCGTTCCTTTTTCAGTTGTCGTGTAGTGTTTATGGTGAATAACAAATGGGTCCAAATCTTTTTCCCGGCTTCATATTTCTTACTGCGAGTTTCAAACAAGAACTCAAATTTTATCTTTCTTTTTTTGCGAGAAACTCAAATTTTATCTTGTGGGTACATATAGTACTTTCTCTGTTTCTAAATATTTGTCTTTCTAATGATTTCAACAACTGACTACATACGGAGCAAAATAAATGAATCTACACTCTAAAATATGTTTTAAATCTCTAAAAAGACAAATATTCAGGAAGTGAGGGAGTATATGTTTTTGATTTGTCTTTTTAAGTTTTTATTAATAGCTACTTTTTAAATAATCCCTCAATTCATACATATAAAATGTTTAGGATATTTTAATATGAGCTATATACGAACTGAAATTAGTGAATAAACACACTAAAATGTTAGAACATTTAGAGATATTAAAACTGCGCATCTTTCCAACCATCTCAAGCCACTAGCATTCTCAGCCGTTGGATCTTCGGTTTGTATGTTTTCAACTGTCCGATTACCTTTCAGTCATGCCTGGCTTTCGTTCGCTACCCAGCAAGCGCCACACGTAGTGGGCCGCTGCTCCGGAAACAATTTTGGCCCTCTCGTGTTAAATTGGACCAAATGGGCAATATGGTGTACCACTCTCCGTCCACATGGCAGCCATCGATCTCTCGTGGAAAAAATGGCACAGCCCTCTCTCGGTGGCTAGCATGGTGACTGTCCCTCGTCTCTGACCGACCGGTTCGCCTGGCAGGCCGATGCCATGGGGCACTGGCGCGGAATGCTAACCATCCTCTGGGTTGCCCCGCCGGCGACGCAACGGGGAGGTGGGTGGGGCAGCGAATCGTCGATTGTTGTTTGGAATTCATTTACAGGCAATTGATTGACGAAAATAATCAGAGCCGGTGATCGATGCATGCCAATCGCCAGCCGCGATAATTGCATATCACTTACCAATGTCGATTCATGCTCTTTCTCTGGTCTGGGCGCCTCGATATAATCTCCACCGCCCCTCTGCTCCTGTCGTGGAATTGTCACGTCAGATGTCCTAGCGAAAGGACTTAATCGTGGAGCCATCGCAACTGGGAAGCTTGAAGGGGTTACTAGGACAAGAGACACGGGAGGTTTATACTAGTTCGACCCCTTACGATGAAGGTAAGGCCTACGTCTAGTTGGGTTGGTATTGCTTGATGTTTCGATGACCAGGAAGCGAGATACGCTATGCCCGGTTCCCGATGAGTTGTTTCTTACCCTCAGCCGCCAGCGGGTCGCCCCCTTATATACACGGGTCGGGGCCCTGCGGCTTACAGAGTCCCGGCCGGCTCATAAACAGTGTTCGGCTCGGTGACTAGTTAAATCTACCTTACGATACAAGTCATGCCATTATGGCGGTTTACTACGACGGGCCTCAAGTCGCTGGTGGGCCTTAGACCCTTTATTGAACTGCCGTCTTCATGCTTGGTCTTGGGCTTCTTTCTGATGAGTCTTCTTTGCGTAACCCGGCCCCTCCTGGGTGGCTTACACAAATAGTTATATTCCCAACATTAGGCCCCAGATTGAGTTGAACCGGTTCATGTCAATCTTAAAATACTTCAGAAATAAACCTTCAACTTTCTGCCTGTGCAAAGGTTTTTAACCCGCCATGATGTCATTTTCTGGATCCACGTTAACCCACCGTGACGTCATCTTCAATTAAATCCTTATTTTATCCTGCTATATCTTCAATGGATCTTTGCCTTTACTGATTGTCCTGAAACCCGAGGCGTCGGGGTCGCTGGATAATAATATCCAATCTCCTCGTTTCTCGCACCGTCCTGGTCGGCCCTTCCCTATAAATAGGCTCGACCTAGGTCTTCTTCATTTTCTTCCTCAGTCATTCGTCTTCTTCCTCTCGCTCTCTCTCTCTACCGCTCGAGCTCCACCGTCGCCGCCATCGCAAATCTCCTCGTCCTCGCCAACTCAGGCCGCTGCATCAACCTGATTTGACCAGAAAAGCGCGATGAAACTCCACAGCAACTCTGCATCTGTAAGTTTCCTCCTTCTTGTTCCTCAGATTCGCATTAGGATCTTCGAGTTCCTCGGTGTTCTTCATTGTTCGTCAGGAACCCCTTGTAGATTTCATCACCACCGCCGTTTCTTGATCCTTAAAATGATATCAAACTGATGCGGTAGCTATTTTGCACCCATTTCAAACACAAGTAGATTCCTTTTCTCTGTACAGAAGCCTTGTTTAGCACTGATGAACTTATCTGTACTAGTTTTAGGTCTAGAATATTTTCCTTTCTGTGCACATGTTTGATCCAAAATAATATCCGCCAATTGCGAAACCTGTTTATGTTAAGCCCATTTAACCCTAGCGGCCCTCATTGCCGGTTTAAAATAGACAATGTTAATTGACGGCCTTGCCAGCTCCTGGCAACTTAAAATAACTTCTAACTGTTACTGATTCCCATAGCGACTTAGGCAACCAGGTAGAATCAGTCATATGTCATTAGGCCTCTTCTTAAGCTGCCATCTTGAATAAACTTAAATTGTTTTCCTCCGGGTTAAAGTTGAACCGGAACCTCTTATTTTGTCATAGGCTTCAATTTACATAATGGCACCCAAGGCTCCCAAAGCTCCCGTGACCTGCAACTGGATCAAATCCACTGTTACAGAGAGCACTTTGTCTGATTTTGTGAAATCCGGCCATCTGCCCAAGACGAAGGAGGTCATGTCTTATCGTGCTCCTAACCCGCCAGAGGAGAAGCCTCAACCCAAAAAGGGGGAGGTAATCGTGTTTACTAATCACATGAACCGGGCTTCGCTCCACCCGGTTCAAAATTCTTCAGGGATGTTTTGCATTTCTTTTACCTCAGACATCAAGACATCGGGCCCAATTCCGTGTCAAACATTTGCAACTTCCAAGTCTTCTGTGAGGTGTACCTTGGAGAGGAGCCCAATATACTTTTATTCAAAGCGCTGTTCTATTTAAACCGGCAGAATGAACGTGCCAACGGGCCCAGTCTTGAACTCGGTGGCATCTCGATTCAGCGGCGGAGAGACTGCCTCATGCCGAACTGCCGAGTCACCCAAAGGATTGGAATCATACGTGGTTCTACTGTCAGGACACTTCTCCGGCTGAGGAAAATCCTCTGCCCGGCTTCCGCGCCCCGCGCCTTGAGTCCAACCATCCGCTGCCGGATAAACTGACTACTGTTGAACGTCTGCCACTTGCTCCCACCATTAGAAAAATCAAAGCTCTTTTGGGAAATGGCTTAGACGACATCGACCTGGTCCGAGTCTGGGTTACTTGGCGAGTGCTTCCGTTAAGTCGCCGCACCGGCTTAATGTGCACTTACTCCGGCGAGAAGGATGGCCGACTGCGTCATAGCCCCGATGACTTACCAGAAAATGTGGTGGAGGCCATGATCCAA